AGACTTGGTTCTTCATTTGGCAAATACTGAGTACCTGCTAGTGTCAGGTTCTGTGCTGGGGATGAGGGATGAGTGAAATCTCTGCCTTGAGAGCTCCTAGTCTGGGGGAGGTAAGTAGTCAGCCAGATAACAGATACCTAATGGCATGTCACAGGGTGGTAAGCACTGTCCCAAGCCCTGATCTTGCTGGTGACAACTAGCCAGTTCTGTGTCCACAGCCCTGGAGGCCCTGTGCCTCCAGCACAAACCTTCAGAACAGAGGTGGCCTCCTCTTCCTGCTCTTCTTCCCAGTTCACTTTTCCGCCCAGTGTACACCCTGTTCGCACAGCACTGAGCCGTGCGTCGTTTCACGTAATCTGCACCCCAACCCGAGAAAGTCTTGGTACCTTCCACTTTGCAGAGACAGAAAGTGAAGCTCAGAGAGGTGAGAGGACATGTCCCAGGTGACCTGCTGGTGGATGGTGGAGCCAGGAGTTGAACTCCCCTGTGAGAGCTCCAAAGCCAGGGCCTTTTCCCCTCTTCCCCTGTGCTGTCCAAGGAGGGTCCCAAACTTGACGTTTGTGATTTTGCAGTGGATTAGCCATCCCAGGTTTGTTGTCCAGGCTAATGTGTGGACGAGGGCTCTGGAGGACAGAAAGCAAGCTGGTGCAGCGTGGGGCCGCTGAGCTGCTGATGAACCAGATCTCGCCCAGGTCATCAGCTGGGATGGAGAGATGACAAGTCAGCAGGCGGCCTCCTTTGTGGCCTGCTTGAGGGCTGTTTGTAGAAATCTTGAGGGGCTGGTGACTTCCCATGTTTGCTCCTTCCACGCCACTGCCAGGTTGGGGTAAACCTAAGGCTTCTCCAGGGGAGGGGGGTTGGCAGGGTTTACAAGCACATGCTCATTCTAAATCCTAAATAATCTCAAGATTGGATCCATGGGTATGACTGCACACCTGTTTATAGCCTGCATCACCTCACCCGTGTCTGCCTGTCTGCTGTCACCCTCCCTGCTCCACTTCAGTTGGCATTTCTTAGCAAGGTCCCTGGAGGGGGGATGAATGGTCTGTTTGGTGAAAAGAGCCCTCAACTGTGAGTCTGGCTAATTCTTCTCTGTGCTTTGTCATCAGCTTGCTGTGTGACTCTACCGTATCACTAGCCCTCTCTGATCAGCTTCCTCATCTACAAAATGGCAATAATAATATCCATTTTACCTGCCTTGCCTACAGGGTGTCAAATGAGATTAGGGCCAGAGGAGTTGTAGGTATGAGAGGTGCCTATGGATGAGGTTTTGGCAGGGAGGAGGGAGAGGCTGACTCTGTCATCCTTAGCCTTGTTACAGAGGAGTTGAAGGGGGCCCAGAGAGGTTTGCTGGCTTGCCTGGAAAGGAAAAACCGGGAGGCGAATCCTCTGTAGGGACCTCTCACTCCCTAGTGACCCACCCCCTGTGGGGAACATGCACACCTGGCATGTTCGTGGGGATCCAGGCTGATGACTTTCCTGCCCTTGAGTTGTTGACTCCCTAGTTGGGAGATGTCTCTTGGCATCAGTCAAATCAGAAAGATGTGAGACACTCCAGGACCTGGATTCTGGGGGCAGCTCATGATTCCAGGCCCCAGGCCGAGCATCCCAGACAGGAAAGAGATACCAGCACAGGGCTGTGGGCCGGGCCGCAGCCATCCCAGAGCAGGGCAGTGGCTGTGAATTGAGGGTAGAGAAATTGCAGGTGGTTGAAGGGTGGCCCTCTTGTCATTTTAGCCTCACTGGACGTTCTACCTGTCCCAAGTCCTTCAGAAGATGAGGCAGGGGGTGAATTTTGTGTGTGTTTGCTGGGGAAGGGTCTCTAGCCTGCTCCCCGGGGCCAGCTCTCAGGCAGCAGCGCTGTAGGGCCCTTGACATCCCCTGCATCTGCACACAGAGGGATTTCCAGTCTAACTCATGGGTTCAGCCCTCCAGGTGCCTGAGAACTGACATCCCATCCTGAGCTCAGACCCCACCAGCCCTTCTCTGTTTGCTTTAGCCAAACCCGCAGCCCTCCCAGGTCAGTCAGTCCCTGCAGGGCGCTGCCCTGGCCTCAGCTCTCATGGGAGGGACTCCCGCTGCCCCGGGGGTTGGGGGGATGTTACCGTCCCAGCTGAGAACAATGGGGGCAGGGTCACCTGCCTTGTTTTCATTGTCCCTCCTGAGTGCAGACAGGGCTCCCGGGCCTGAGAAAGTCGGAAACCCAGAGGTTTCTGCTGAAAAGGCGCTCACCTCTGGCACGGGCTTTCCCCATGAGCGTGAGACCTCGCAGTGCCTCTGAGCTCTGCAAAGACTGCTGAGAGATGGCCCAGGAGGGCCTGCAAGGGGAAGCCCAAGGGTGGACGGGAGGACAGTCGTGTCCACGGCTGCCGTGCTGGCTCCAGTGGCTGGGCTGGGCTAGACTTTCCCCATGACCAGAAGGGAGGGCGGTTTGGATCTAGGAAAGTGGTTTTGAAATTGGCTGTACACGGTATTAGTCACCTGGGGCAGCTTAAAAGCATCTTAGTTCTCAGTCCACACCCCAGGCCATTTCTGTCTGAATCCCTGGGGGTAGGACCCAGGCATGATGATTTCCTCCAGCCGCCCCAGATGATCTGCATGTGCAGCCCAGGTTAAGCAGCAGTGGTGTAGTGACCCCTGACGTGTGTGTTGGCGGTGGGGATGGGATACCACTTTCCACCTTGCCTGATGAGGGTGCGTGTGTTTCTGGGGTTGGGGGTTTAATCTAGGTGTGACCGACACTGCAAGGGTCTGCATTTACACTCAGGTAGCCTGGCTTGCTGGGGACTCAGGAGGAGCTGGAGCTGGTTGGCCAGTGAGCTGAGTCCTGAGAATGAAAATACATTTTCTCGAATGTGCTGTGGATTCCCCAGGAACTTGGGAGGTGCTGAACTGGGCCCAGAAGCATGGTCTGGGCAGAGGGAAATGTGAATTGTAGAGAAGTGTCACCTGCCCAGGCAGGAGCCCCGTAGTCATGGGCCAACCTCCTCATTTTACAGAGAAGGCAAGTGGGCAGGGGGGCAGGGGTTCCTGGAGAGTCTTAGCAAATTGGCCGAGCTGAGCTGAACCCAGGTCTTCAGTCCCTACATTGACATCCTAGCATACCAACCAGGTCTCCAACAATTTGTCCGTCTTTCTTCTAAAAACATTATAAATATCCGGGTAGGCACTGGCGCCTATCTGAAAATGCAGATAAGCAAAACAGGTTAACAAAGTCCATATGGCAAGAGCCGAGAGGTCTGGTCTTAGCTGAGACGCGGTGAGGCCCTGCCCCTCTGGTCCCTGCACCTGCCCCGCAGACACCTGCTCCCTGCCTGGGAGAGACGGGGCCCGGGTGAGCCGGGCTGCAGCTGGCACAGGTGTCAGGGTGGTACCATTGGGCCCTTGCCAGTGCCGGCTCATAAACTGGGCCTGCCCTCCAAGCCACACCTGGTTACCTGGGCTGCGGGGAGGGGGCGGGGGAATACCGAGGATGCCTTCTCCTTGCCGGTGCATCCTCCCTCCTGGGCGGATGGGGAGCTGGAAGGCCGAGCCCAACGCCCACACTGGGCAGTGGGTGGCTGAATCACCTGCGGACCTTGTTAAGGAGCTTGTTAACTGCGCGGCGCTCAGCTCACCTGCACGGAACACCTGTGAGTGGGGCACAGGCAGCGTATTTATTTAAACTCAGGGTGGTTCCACTGGGCAACTGGGACTGAGAGCCCCTGCCTCAGGGGCTAGGTGGTTTCTGAGGTCTCTGAGCCTCAGTTTCCTCAATCTGAAAACAATCCCAACTTCCCTTCCCCACCCCCAATTAAGGAAGGTTTGAGAAGCTGAGTCAGCCTGAGAGGGAGAGTGAGAGGTAGTGAAGATGACTGAGGGCTTGGCCAATCGCCTCTGTCCTCTAATTTGTCTTGGGAATAGAGAGGTGACAGGTGCTTGCCTTCTCTCCAAGATAAATTTGGATCTGCCAACAGTTCCCCAAAGACGACCAGGGGGAGGGCCAGCCACTAGCCCCCGGGCTCCCTGCTTCCCCCGTCAAACCGCTGCAGGGAGCCCCGGTACCTGGGATCTGGGGTCCTCCCCTCCCCTCTTTATCTGTTCATCAGCTCGTGGTGTTAAAGAATTTGAAAAAGATGGGTCTAAACACGCCCCAACTCTAAGTGTATATGCTTGAGAAGTGCCTGTGGTATGTTACTAATCTCCACTTCTGTCTGTTCTGGTCAGAACCACCCCTCTAACTCCCCGTGGGGCCTTGACCCCACCCTGGGCCCCCTGCCCTGAGCGGGTTCTTTCTTAGAGACTAGGTAAACATAGACCGACTAGACACACGGGGAGAGCCCAGCCCGGAGACCAAGGGCGGGTGGGCCTGGACTGCATTGTGGGAAGCTGGGGGCAGCGTGGCCAGGGCTTTAGGACTGGAGTTCAGAGACGCTACCATGCCAGGCCTCAGCCTCACTGGCCAGCACAGTGAGGGGACCAGTGTGTGGCATCCTGCTTTGCGTGGCTCTGTGGAAAACCTGCCAGGGTGGCTGGGAGCCTCTGGCAGGCAGAGATCAGGGGAGATAGGCCTTCTGAGGGATGGAGTGCCACGTCCTGGGTGTGCCTGTTTCCCTGTCCTCTGCTGCCTCAGAGAGAGCCTTAACACACACCCCGACCCCCAGGCCCCCTGACTCCAACTTTTGGGGCCCGGGAACTCCTGCCTGCTGAGCCCCAGTTCCCCTGTACCCCCCGTGAATTTTTTTGGTCCTCTCCGTGTGGAGAAGTCACCCCCATGCCCTGAGGGAGCAGACCTGATGGTTCAGACTGAGAAGGAGTTGTCCTTGTTAGAATAGGAACAGGTGGGAAGAGGTGAGGAAGCCCCGGGACAGAGTCCCTGTCCTCACCCAGCCTGTCCTCCGGGTGCAGAGCAGTAAACCCTCTGCCCTTTGATTTACCTCTGGGGACAAGTGATTTCCCCCAGGGTCTCAGATTGCTGCTGGGTCTGGTTTCCTGAAGGACACACACAAAGCAGTCATAACACTGGTTGTAGGTACATTTATTCAGTGTTTACAGCATCCTAGGTACTCTTCATGTGTTTGGAGTAGGGGTTATTTTTGGCAGATGGAGAAACTGAAGCTGATAGGCTATTTATCCAGAGACTCGATACCAGCAATTGAGAGAGGATCCCCCGCAAGTCTCACCCAGGTCAGCCCCACATTTCCATGAGCCTCCACCTGGAAGAGGGACCAGTTTGGTTTGAGAGAGAGCCCTGCCGCTCCTCTTCATATTCCTTTTCCTGCTCTCTGAACATCCACTGGCCCCTAGGAGAGGACCAGAGGGGACAGGCCCCCCCTTCCTGCAGGAAGGACAGCCCCTCCAGTCACCCCAGGGACTCTTCCAGCCCCACTGCCACTCACTCTTGGACGAGGGGGCTTTCACCTTCCTCCCTCACCTCGCCCCTTTCCAGCCCCTAACCCCCAGGACTTTCAGCCCCCTGCCCTCTGTTCATCTCAGCCTGGTGGACCACCCCCTCCCTCTCCATACCAGTAGGATGCTGGTGGTTCCAGCAGCCCTGCATCCATCCCCTGACCTTGCCAGCTCCACTCTTGCTGGGGTCTGACTCTGCCTCCCACCCTCTTGCTGGATAAAGGCTCGCCCCTTGTTGCTGATGAATTTAAGTTAAACCCACCTGCAGAATAATGCCGGGAAGGTCTTGAAGGAAGGACGTGAGAAGGTGAGTCAGTCGAGGTCAGAGTATTCCCTCATTCATTCAAGTTCATTTACTCACTTATGTGACAAATGTTTTTTGAGCACCTACTATGTGCCAGGCAGTGATCTAGGCTCTGGGAATGCCGCAGATAAACGTCCAGCCCTTGTGGAACTTACCTTCTCGGGCAGTCTGCATTCCTGCAGATCTTTTTCTTGCATTTGCCTGGGAAGTTGTGTTCTAGAGACCTGACTTCACTCCTGTAGCTGAGAAGCCCACCCTGCAGCGCCCACCTCTCCCCAACTATGGACAGCACAGGGGTTAAGAGCCAGACTACCTGGGTTCACTGCCGAGCAGTTTACTTCATGAGTCTCTGTGCCTCATTTTCCTCAGCTGTAAATGGGCTAATAGAACCTACACTACAAGGTTGTAAAGACTCAACAAGCTGAGCGATTTAAATGCTCTGACGAGTGCCTGTTGTAAAATAAATGCTCAAATATCAGCTCCAATCCAAATATGAGCTGTCACCAGCTATGACATGAGGAGTAATAAACCATGCCCCACCCACTGTCAAGGTGGCTGGGAAGGTCAGGTGAGGAAGGATAAAGGTTTTTCCTAGGCTGCCTCGCACCGTGCACACTCCACGATTGGCCTCGTTTCCCTTCAAGACCAGAGGGACCAAGTGAGCAGAGGTGGGATGTGTAAGGGGTGGATGCAGCCGGGATGGTGAGGAATGTCCCTAACACCAGGGGTCCAGTGAAGACTGGCATCCCAGAGCATCCTTGAGGCCGCATCCTACGTAGCAAGAAGGGGCTCTGTGATCCAAGTGTGAGGTCTGACCCAGGAGCTGGAGGCAGGGCAGGGAGTGGCCCTGTGCGTGCCACTCAGCTGCAGTCCCCAGGCAAGGCCACCACCCTGACTGGTTTGCCCCACCCAACCTGATGAAGGAAAAGGCTGGACCTCAGCCCCACTGCCCGTGTCTGCAGGTGGGCACCAGGTCCTGGATGTGCCCTCTCTGGAACAGCCCACTGGGTGGGATGAACCTTCAGGGAGGGGAGGCCTGGCAGCTATCTCTGCACAGGAAACCCCGGGTCCCCAGGGGATGAGGCGCTCTGGTCAGGGCAGCCCCTGAAGCCAAGGCAGGGGCATGAATGTTGCCTCCTGGAGGGCTCGAGTCCTAGTGGATGGACTGGTTTTAGGGCACTGTGTTTCTAGCTGGCGCAAGGGGGTGGAGGTGTGAACTGGCCTCCTTCCTGTGGCCTGTGTGGGGCGGCGGTAGGGTAATAGCTGCCAGGACCCAGATGGGCCCGGGCTCCGCTCCTGGCTTCCTCACTTAATGTCCTGACCGATAGCTACTTACTTAACCTTCCAGCCTTAAATCCTTGTTTGCAAAGTGGAAAAAATTATGGTGTCTTCCCAGCATTAAATGAGCTGAAGGCATATAAAGTGCTCAGCACATCTGGTGCATAGTAAGCCCTCAGTGAATCACAGCTGCTTTTTTATGAGAGTGAAAGGCGGGGAGCTCTGTTCCATCCCCAAACAAGAGCCGGGCAGTGTGTGGGATCCCCCTCTCCCATCACTCTCCAGGGTTGTGTGGAAAGTGAAAATACTGTCATGTGTGAATTGGGGAGCCAAGGTAAAGAACCCTGTGAGTGAACAGGGCCACCTCCTCCTGAGAAAGCTGTTTCCCTAACCCCCGGGGGAAGACAGGATGCTGTGTCTAATGGTTCTCCATGACTGTTCCCCTCACCCACGGTGACCTCAGTCCTGGATTACCCCTCTATTCTGGAAGACCTTCTCGACTGGCGGGACCCTGCACCTGACCATAATCCATGCGGCGTCCTAACCAGGGCCACAAGCTACATGGGGTGGGAGCAGGGAGCAGGCAGCCCAAGTTCATTCACTTGCAGACCTCTGCTCCCCAAGCCTTGCTTTCTTCATCTGTCAAGTGACTTCTGCCAGCATCGCAGGAAGAGCCAGTTAGAAGATACGTGCAAAAGCCCTGGCAAGAAATGTCTGACTTACAGCGGCCCTGAAATCCTGCATCTCTCCCCAGCACTGGGATGGAGCCAAGCCGATTCCCAGGCCAGCTGTTTGGGACCCATAGGTAGTGAGAAGGGTCCTGGGGGCATCCGGGGCAAGGAAAGCAGTGGAGGGAGGGAGGTGGAGAACTGTGCTGACTTGCAAGGAACAGTCTAGAACCCAACCCAGTTCTCCTACTTAACCTCTCAGCCTCAGTCTCCTGACCCGACTGGACGCGACTACAGCCACTGGACTGCTGTCAGGGCAAGTGGTGCTTCTGGTCTGGGGGGCTTGGGGCTCTTCAGAATGCCCCCTTCGCCTGCCTCTCTCTGCGTGACCACAGAGAGATGATGGAGATCAAGAGGACAGTGCACGACAAGTCACAGATTGCCCTTGGCAAGCCAGTGTGTGTCGGTGGGAGCAGTGCGGCATGGCGGATGGGGCTGCCCTGTGAAGTACAGGGCATTTCGCCTCTCTGGTCCCGCCCACTTAATGCCAGAGGCACCGCCATCAACCACCAGAGGCGATGTGTGGGAGGACAGGGATTTCGTCACTTCACTGCTCTATCCCTGGTGCCTGGAACAGTGCCCGGCACTATGAGGCTCCCCATCAGGAGAGCATTTCAAAACACTTCCGGAGGGAGCTGCCACCCTAGTTGAGAACCCCTGTTCTCTCACCTTCCACAGCCCTGATGAGTGCTGTTCACCTTGGGCCTAAACACTCTGCATTATCGGGAACAGATGCCTGCCAAGGGCAGTCCATTCAGAGGTAGCTTGATACCAAAAAAGCCAGCCGGTCCCCTCTTGGATCTTGGCCCACTGGTTAAATATCACGAAGCCGACACCCAGAGTGAACACACTGCCTCATGTGTGCCGACCTGCAGAGGACAATGAGCTCCTTGCCTCCCGGCCCTGAACAGATAAGGTTTTGACACTGAGATTGTATTTACTTTTCTTTCGGCAGCAACCCTAATGTTTGTCGTTTTGTGGTCAGCTGAAACCCAAGGACTTCCCCTTTGACCCTGTACTGGTCGATCTCTTCTGACCCAAAGTGTAAGACATGAAAAATGTAAAAGACCTTAGCCATATCTGGTTAGTTTGGGCCCATTTTTCCAGTCCAAATGAGTCCCAAACTGCCATTGCAGTGTGTTTGCTATCGCCCCATCCCAGCCTTGTCCCAATTTTAAGTCCTCTGCAGATCAGATTGGTCATCCATCTGCATCCATTAAAACGAGGCCTAGGCTGTGGCATGATAACGGAGACCTCAGGCCAGGCAGATAATGACCAGTACTTCTTGGGGTTGTTTATTTGTCTTTCTGCAGACCAAGCTCCACCCAGCGTTTCTCTGTCTGGTCATGTGAATATCTTTAAGCCCATCTGCTCGGCCTCCTTGCTGCTATCCAGATTGACTGCATTCCACCAAACTTCAAGGCTTTGCAGCCTCTTTGGAGGGGGAGATGCACTTCGCTGAGCATGACTCTCTCTGGTGAACCTGTGCTAGTAGCTTCCAGTGCCCTCCACTTCCTTTTGGGATGAGCCAGACGTTCTGCTGTCTCCAAAGGGGAGTCAGCAAGAGTTCAGGTTTGAGCTCCCTTTGTAGGAGAAGGAGGGCAACCTGCCTTCCAACATCTTTCTGTTCCCCGAGATTCCACAGGGACGATCAGGGTGGTGCCCTGGTCATATCATTCCTCTGTCTGGGGCCACACACCCTGACGACCCTTCTCTACCCTTTTCCCCTCGAAGATGGATGTCCGAAATAACAAAGGCGGAGGCCAAAGGGAGCTGAGCAGGCCTGCTTTCCCTGCCATCTGTTTAACATTAACACCCGGGGCCCTGGGACTTTTCATTCTCCTCCTTTGAACATAAATTTCATGTTGTAGAAAACCTTGGGGGTGGACCTTCAGCAGCAGACCTGTAGGCCTCTTCGTAGCTGAACGTCCTGGTGCTTTGGCCAGCTCGACGGCCGCGCTCTGAGGGCAGGTGGAGGCAGGGCAGTGAGCCGTGTGGTCTGACGGCCTGTCAGAGGAGCATGTCATCATGGAAAATTCTTGACAGTCGAGTCTGCAGATCCGTTTACACGGGCCTGCTGCTGCCGCTGCGAACTGCACATTCCTTCACAGCAACCCCCCTTCCCTCTTTTCCCACCAAACTTCAGTCAGGCCACAAGGAGTTCAGAACTGTTTTTTCCTTCTCCCTCCTGCTTCCATCCATCACTCTTTCCTTGGGCCTAGGCTTGAGATTTAGAGGGAATTTGGCCGAGTTCCTGGTTTCTGGGCTGGATGGCCCATCCTGGGCTCTCCTTGGGGGCAGGGGGACCCCCGATTTAGAGTCCCTTCTGGTCCCTCTTTGGGAGCCTTCTTCTGAGGTCTGGGCCCTGCCGTTAGTGGGTGGGTTGAACAGAGGCAGCACCAAAGGATAGGGTAGAGGCAGGGTCTGGCCAGGTGCAAACAGGTTTGGCAGCTGTCAAGTGTTCCTGGAACAGATAAGGAAGGCCTCCCCAGGGCCGCCTTGGTGACCTCTCACCTGCTGCCCACAGTTGCTGGGAGCTCTGTGGGGACCAACAGCACGGTTTTGAGTCACTCTGAGAAGTACACACCACCTTCTGATGATCTGTCCTGGCCCAGGCGTGAAGTTGCTCAGCCCAGGGCAGAGAGAAAGAGTGCCAGAGAAGGGAGGGAAGGGGGAGCCTGTAGAGGGAGAGGATAGAGTCCCAGGCATGGGAGCAAGGAGTCCAGCTGATGTGCCTGCCCTGGGACGGCAGATCCAAGAGCTCACTGAGCTGACCTTAGCAGGCATCCTGGCTGAGAGTGAAAGGCATGTGGGGGTCCCTTCTACACCGACCGTGCAGTAGAACACTTCTCTATGGAGGTCCTCCTGGGTGTGTGCCTTCACATCTGCCTTCTTTCAAAGGCAGAATAGTCTAGTGCAGCGGTTCTCAAAGTGTGGTCCCTGGACCGTAACATCAGTGTCACCTGGAAACTCATTAGAAATGCACATTCTCTGATCCTTCCCAGACCTACTGAATCAAATTCTGGAGGGGTTGGGGTGGGCAGCAGGCTGTATTTAATAAGCTCTCCAGGCGATTCTAGTAAGTTTGAGAAGCACTGGCTCAGTAAGAGAAGGGACTTTGGAGCCAGGTTGCCAGGGTTCATATTCTTATCAGCTGTGTGACCTCAGGCCAATCAGTTAATCCCTCTGATCCTCTATAAAATGTTTCATCGCCTATACATCAGAGACAGTAACTGCAGCCTTGTTATTGTAACGATTAAATAAGAATGTTTATGAGGAGGCTCATAAGGTGCTGCCGGTTAGAAAGCATCTGTAAGTCTGACCTTCACTGTGTCTCCTTTTAGATAGTATCTGATGCTGCAGGACAGGGCGTGGCCATCACAGGGAACCAGACCTTCAACAACTGGAACTGGCCCAATGCCATGATTTTTGCAGCCACGGTCATCACCACCATCGGTAAGTCTTCTGGGACCTTCAGCACACCCACTTCCATGCCCTAGCTCCCCAGAACCTTGTAAGAGTCCGGCTCTGGTCACATGGCCTTGCTGAGATGAAAATCAGGCCAGTTGCACTCTGTCCTTTTGACACTTCCTTGGGGATTTAGTAAGTCCTTGGTAACTGGCCATCCTTGGGAGGCTGTTCCAGAAGTCCTGACCTGGGCTCTTGGAGTAGAAACAACACAGCTTGACAGCCAGAGCCGTGCAGGTAGCTGAACAGGCTGCTCACTGCACAAACCCAGCCAATGCTTGCTCACCAATCTAGGTGTCTGTATTCTGGTTACCTATGGCCGCATAACTAACCACCCCAGAAGGTAGGGGCTGAAAACACAACTTACAGTCATTCGCCACTGTGTGGGTTGACTGGGTTCAGCCAGCTGGTTCTTGTTTAAGGTCTCTAATGTGGCCATCAGGGTGGCTGGGGTTGTGGGCATCCAAAAGCCCAGTTGGCTGGACGTCCAGGATGGCCTCTTCTATGTTTGACAGTTGATGCTGGCAGTTGGCTGGGAGCTTAGCTGGGGATGGAAACACAGTGGCTTGGGCACCTCACAGTATGGCAGCTGGGCTCCCAGAGGCCACAATCCCCAAAGTAAGCATCTCACAAGATCAGTTAGGACTTAGCAAGCATTGACTTGGCATTCTAAATTGCACAGTGGTTCCATGTGGACTCATGGAGAACTTGCTAACGGTGGAGGCTTAGTCCACTTCAGGGAGCTCCCAGTCTGATAGAGGACATAGCCCACACCATCATAATTGCTACTAATGATCATGATCATACTGCGGTCAAGGGAAATTTCATTTATTGTGTTGATACTAGATCAATGTCAAATGATCTCAGAGAATGGGCTCTTCTCAAGCTGGGTGTCTGTGTGCGTGTGCGTGTGTGTGGTGAGGCAGGGGCCACTCCAAGTCTGGGTCCATCACCCCTGCCGTGGCCTGTTGGCCTCACACTTCTTCTCCTCAGGGTATGGCAACGTGGCCCCCAAGACCCCCGCTGGGCGCCTCTTCTGTGTCTTCTATGGGCTCTTTGGGGTGCCGCTCTGTCTGACATGGATCAGTGCCTTGGGCAAGTTCTTCGGGGGACGTGCCAAGCGGCTGGGCCAGTTCCTCACCAAGAGAGGCGTGAGCCTGGTATGTCTCTAAGCACAGGTGCTGGGCAGGGAGGGGGAACCCTGGCAGGTAATGGGAGGGTGGGAGGAATCCAGGAATTGGACAGAGGTGTCAGAACAGAGGGCGAGAGGGCAGCCTGTTTCAGAGCGCCCTGCCCTCCTGGGCGAGGCTGGGAACATCGCTCACTCCCTGGGCATTGAGCCTCCTCCCAGTCTCGGTGCCCGGCCAGCCTTCCCTCTGGGTGCCTCTGCTGGGTTTCCCTGGTCTCCCCCGCCGTCTGATTGGTCTCCCCACCCACCCCTGCAGCGCAAGGCGCAGATCACGTGCACGGCCATCTTCATCTTGTGGGGCGTGCTGGTCCACCTGGTGATCCCACCCTTCGTGTTCATGGTAACGGAGGAGTGGAACTACATCGAGGGCCTCTACTACTCCTTCATCACCATCTCCACCATCGGCTTTGGCGACTTTGTGGCCGGTGAGTCCTGCGCCTTGCCTCTGCCCACCCTCTCTTCCTCTGCTTCTCCTGCTGTTTTAGGTCAGCTGACCTTCACTGGGGGCCCTGCTAGGCATTCAGGATTCTGGGACTCCACCCAGCAGGGTCCTTACCCAGCCCTGCCAGTTGTAAGAGGAAGCCAAGGCACAGAGCAATTGCAGAAGTTGTCTATTTTCCTTTCTTGGAACTTGGCTTTTTCCTCCTCCTCCTTCATGTTTGGTATACGCTCTCTTCCTCTCTTCTCCTGTCTCCCGAGCTTAGTGCTTAGGTGCACTGGGGGCTGGGGGCGAGGCCTTCTGCCTGCAGGGTTTGTGCCTGTTGCCCCGAGAGCCCCTGGGCCGAGCCAGGCCCGCACCCACCCCCGCGTCCCCACTGCCTGCCTTCCATCACTCACAGTCGCTGAGAGAGCCACCATGGACGCTTGGCTCAGAGGCCCGAAACTGCTCTTGCCACAGGCAGCTTAAGGACAGGAGAGGCCTGCTCCCAAGCTCCTCCCTCCCACTCTTCCCCTACTTAATCCAGGAGGGTGATAAGATTCTTTGGGCCCTTTGTACTCACGCACTTGGGCCTTTTGTCTGTACTCACGTGCCCGTGGCCTGCACAATGTCTTGGTTCTTAATCTTCTCAACACCCCATTTGGTTGCATTGACACAGTGTTTGCTCTCTCATGCCTGCTGCCCTGCCCAGCTGACCTCAACCTCTGCTCCAGGACCTCTGCTCTCTCCCCCTCCCCCTTCGTAGGGGGCAGAGCCAGGTCACTACCCTCCTGCTCCAATGTAAGTGCAGACTCAGAACACTGGGATGGGGCAGCCAACTGGGTGGGAGGAGCAGGAAAGAGAGGCCTGAACACTTTACTGACCCTGGCCGATCTGAGCCTGCTGTCCTGGGAGATAAATTTAGACGGAGGCACAACCCTGCCATTGTCTAGCCACTGGGGCCTAGAGCAGGCTAAAGAGAAGCCTTTGTGTAGGAGAAGCACAGAAGCATGTTTAATCATACTTTCTCAGCTCCAGGAAGACACCAAAGTGCTGCCTCAGTTTCCTCATCTGTAAAATTGGTTTAAAAAAAAAGTGATGGTGCCTTCCTCCGAGGGTGGTGGACCATCAAATGAGTTGCTGTTCATGAGTGTTAAGAGCAGGGCCAGGCTAGACGAGTGTGCACCCTGATTGTCATGGTAACCTGCTTATGAACAGACTGACAGCAGGATGGCCTTCGGGGAACCTCCAATCTGATGAGGGAGGTATAGTCCTTGCCCTAAGGGAGCCCCATTCTGGAAGTGGCTCCCTTCCTCCAGTTCCTTTTCCAAGTTGCTCCCAGTCTTAGGCAGGAGGGGGGACACAGGATACATAATAATACAGGTCAACAGGACTGGAAGCGTCAAGTTAAATCTCAGTGATCCTGGAGGGTAGGGGAGCGGCCAGAGCTGTGCAGGGTGACCCAGGATGGCTCCCTGGAGCAGGTGTCAGAAGCCTGGCTGCGGAGGAAGGGGGCGAGCAGAGGGCAGAGCTCTCCGGACCGTGGGAGGAACCAGCTGGAGGAAGGCAGGAACACGAAGTCAGGAGGCAGGTCAGATGTTACCAGAAGGAGAATCAAGGCTGCCCAGGATATTTCTTGCCAGGAGCAGTGCTCTCAGACACCTCGGCCCCACCACCTGCCTCATTTATATTAAATCAGTGAGACCCAGCAGTGAGGATGCCAGCCGCCCCCTCACTTAACTGAACTGTAACATGTACACCCCAAAAGTACACAAAGCAGCCAGGTGTTGGGGTCAGTAAATAATTGAAAGGCCAATATTTATGGCTTAGTTCCTGGCCTGAGTGCTGGCTCTGTTACCAGCCTCCCCAGAGGAGCCTCCCTCACCCTGGGGAGCCACTCTCCTGACCTTTGACAGTTGAGGGTCTGGGACAGGCACACGAATGACAGAGCCAAGGTCCTTCAGGATAAAGGGGTGTCCGGGTTCTAGCATAGGCCTCCTGTCTTTCTTGGTACGTCCCCGTTGCTGCTTTGTGTTCCAATGCTGTGCCCACTCTCGGGTGACACAGCTTTGGCCTTTGTGTGTTTCTGGGTCCCCGCTGACCCCTGTTCCTGATCCTCTGGGCTTCCTGACCTGCCCTCAGGTGTGAACCCCAGCGCCAACTACCACGCTCTGTACCGCTACTTCGTGGAGCTCTGGATCTACCTGGGGCTGGCCTGGCTGTCCCTCTTTGTCAACTGGAAGGTGAGCATGTTTGTGGAGGTGCACAAGGCCATTAAGAAGCGGCGGCGGCGGCGGAAAGAGTCCTTTGAGAGCTCCCCACACTCCAGGAAGGCCCTGCAGGTGGCGGGGAGCGCGGGGTCCAAGGACGTCAACATCTTCAGCTTTCTGTCCAAAAAGGAGGAGACTTACAATGACCTCATCAAGCAGATCGGGAAGAAGGCGATGAAGACCGGCGGGGGTGGGGAGCGGGTCCCGGGACCGGGGCTGGGGCCCCGGGGGGGTGGGCTGCCAGCCCTGCCCACCTCCCTGGCCCCCCCTAGTGGTCTACTCCAAAAGCCGGGTGCCCAGCTTGGAAGAGGTGTCCCAGACACTGAGGAGCAAAGGCCACATGGCGCGGCCCCCTGATGAGGAGGCCGAGGCGGGGCCCACCGAGCAGGGCTCTCCCACCTCTGAGGTGTTCATTAACCAGCTGGACCGCATCAGCGAGGAGGGCGAGCTGTGGAATGCCCAGGACTACCACCCGCTCATCTTCCAGGACGCCAACATCACCTTTGTGAACGAGGAGGCTGGCGTCTCGGACGAGGAGACGTCCAAGTCCTCACTTGAGGACAACCTGGCTGGGGAGGAGAGGCCCCAGGAGGGGGCCACGGCCGAGGCGCCCCTGAACCTGGGCGAGTTCCCCTCGTCGGACGAGTCCACCTTCACCACCAGCACCGAGTCGGAGCTGTCTGTGCCTTATGAACAGCTCATGAACGAGTACAATAAGGCAAACGGCCCCAAAGGCACATGAGGCAGGGCTGGCTCCCCACCCCACCTTCGATGGCTTCTGTTCTCAACCTGGGCGTCCTGCTGTGGCTGGGATGCCTGGCCCCTGGTGGGGGGCAGCCCTGGAACTGGGAGTGGGGGGCTAGGGGCCTTCCTCACCTCCATCCCCTGCAGCTAGACGCTACCAGTCAGACATGGCGTGCCCAGGACAGGGCTCTGTTCTCCAGCTGTGAACGGGCATCCTGGCAGTTGGGGGCGTCTGTCCTGAGCATGGCTGGTGTATCTGATGGTTCAAAGACACACATGGGTTGGCAGGACTGATCCCGGGGGGGCCTGCACCTGTGCGGGTCTCCACCCTGTCATTCGGTTAAGAATGGCACACGGTTCTCTGAGGCTGAGGGACTTCAGTCATTTGTGTTCACCAGTATTAATGCAGTCCTTCCGTGTGCCTGGCACTGAAGGCAGCATTTTGGAGGGAAGGTGGAGGCGATATAAGACCCCAAGGACAGTGGTGATGTGAGGAGCTGGGCACATCAGTGCCTCAGCAGTTGCAGGGTCCTCCTGGGGCATGAATTTAACCATCTCCCAGTCCCACCTCATCTGCCTGTCACCCCTACTGCAAACCTCAGTAGGGAAGAGGCCATCAAGGGGGAGGGGAGGGGAGCTGATGGGCAGGTGCTGAAACACTCCTGATATGAGAGACCCCAAGCAATTTCCATGTGTGGTCCAGGGTCGCAGTCCTTCCTGTGGACTCACTGGGGCGGAGCCCAGCCCAGAGCCCAGTTCCCTGTCCCAGACACCCTTTGGCCAAGCAATGGCAGGTGCCTTTCTGCCTTCAAGGAAGTGGTGGGAGAGAGGCTGGCAGGCCGGGGCCGTGGAGGCTGGGGCTCCTGGAGCTGGCAGCTGGGGGGCTGCAGGAGTGGGGTCAGCTCCAGCTCATTCAGCCTCCCCTCCCGGCCCGCTGTCTTCTCACTCCCTGGGCCCAGAATAAGGACCTCACCACTCCCCAGCTCTCTCTTGGCTCACAAGCAGGGAATGGCCAAATATGTGAATCACGCTCCTCCCTCTTGTTTGCTGCTGTTCGTTTGTGTGTGTGTGTGAGTGTCTGTCTGTCTGTCTCTGTCTAAGAAAGGAAAGGATTTGCCATGGGGGGAGCAAAAGATAATGTGAAACTGTACACAGACCGTTTCCGGTGAGGGGCTGGCAGGGTTCCTGGGTTCTCCGTGGTGCGCAGCCCAGGGCCGGCCCACTCTGCCCTGCATGTTTTGTCTTGTTCTTTTTTAAATGAACTGCTGTTTTTAATAGACCTGGCTTCTGTTATTAGCTTCAGATCTGCAGGGGAGGACAGGTGAAAGAGCAGCGTCCCAAGGATCGGGATGTCTCGTGTTCACTCTCCTACCCGCCCCCACAGCCCAACTGGGCCTTTCTCGGTGACCTTGGCCAAGGTCACGGTGTCAGAGAGGGGCAGGGGGCGCGGATCAGCAGGCGAGCACAGTCCAGGAGGGGCCTCCGTTGCAGGCTACTGGATGCTGGGCAGGTGAGCGATTACCTCGACCCAAACACCTCTCTGCCTGTCAGCCCCCTCCTCAGTACTGTGGGGCCCAAGAAGGCCAGAACCCCACTCACCCCCAGCAGTGAAGATGGCAATGGGCGCGGGTATCCATACCTCTGCTCATCCTGTGACCCAGAGGTCCGCTGGTCCGGCAGTGGGCTGGGAAGGACTGGCCTTCTGTTTTTCTGTGACATATTTCAAGGAGCTCGTCTTAGCTTCCTCATCCCACCTGGCTGGGGTGTGTCTGGCTGTCCTGGAATCACAAACACTGTATGAACATACTGGCAATGATGCCAAATGTAATTTATTTTCACATTTTTTACAATAAAACATGAGATAGACAAGCCAGTCTGATGTGTGCTGGAAGTGAGGGGAGGGAGATAAGGTGGTGGGGGGGCAGCCTGGGAGGATCTGAGGACAGCCCGAGGGTCAAGGGGAGACCTGGAGTGGTCTGGAAGGGAGAAAAAAATGAAAGAGGTAAGGTGGAGAAGGGGCAGGCTACTAAAGATGTGGTCATTGCGGGCCCTTTAAGGGCCTCCCTTTAAGGGGAGGATTTGTCAGGCTTCATGGTCTCCACACTTTTGAGATTAACCTCTTCCATGGCAGTGTCAGGGTCCCCTTCCCATACCACACAGGACATTGGTTCAAATTTTGAGTCCACGAGGGAAAAAGTAATTTTCTGTGATTTCAGAAATGAAGCGTATTTTTCATGAGGGTGTGGCTGTGTTTACAAGGGATCACTAACTGATTAAAATACTAACTGATTCTGTAATGACTTGGTCCCATCCCTTGCTTTGCTAAAACATCCCCGCACACACTGGTCCAAGCTTCTGGTTTTACTCTGGCCCCTTCCAGCTCCCCAGGTAGCCCATTCCATTCACTATCTTTGTTTAGCACTTGACTGTCTCACAAAGCCCTCTGACAGGCATGGCTCGGAGCACTGGGTGGCCCAGGGCGCTTGTCCCCCTGTGACGGCTGGGAGGGCATGACTTTCCCACGCACAGCATCTTGGGGCTGTGCTCCTGGATGACAAGGCACCACCCAGAGGCCCGGGGTAGAGGAGCTTTGGTCCTGGGCCACTGTGGTTGAGATGAGTCAGGAGCTTTGGAGTGAAAGTTCTGGAAAGGGAAGGGTGGGACAGCAGCTGGAGCAGAGGAAGGGGTGCCATAGAGAGGGGCATGGTGAGCCCTCATGTCACTGTCACTGCCCATCACTCACTGTGCCCGTGAGCTCTTGTGGGATGGCAGGTGGATGAGGTGGTTTGGAAGTCCAGGGAGAGGGCCCTGGCAGGGAATCCCTGCTGTTGAGCCGGGTCAGAGAGACCTGCGGGGGTTGCACTGTTGAACCTCAGAGTTCCATGGCTTCTGAGGTGGACACGCCCACTCAGGCGGGCTGCTCCCCGCAGCCCTCCAGCCCCACATCCTTCCCAGCTACCTCCTAGAAGCCTTCCTGCCCTAGCAGTGAACTGGCACCTGCTCTCCAGTGTCGCCATTCAGTCTCTCCATTTATTCCTTCAACTGATGATCACTGAGCACCCACTGTGGACCAGGTCCTAGGCCCTTGGAAAACTACAGCGTGTAAAATGGACAAAAGTCCCATTGGTGGCGCCTACAGCTTGCTCTCATTTCTGACTGTTTCATGGTCTGCTCGGTATTTATGTCCTGTCCATGTCCCCAAGGCTCTTTTAATTTTGTCTCTCCTAGCTTACGTCTTTCAATCCTCACAACAGATAATGTTATTATTAACCCCACTTAACAGATGAAGAGACTTGAGGCAAATACAGGATTTTCACAAATTCAAACAGGTATTAAGTAACAGCAAAACAGCTTCCCTGACTCACATTTCCATCCCTCATTCTACCCTCCAGAAGTTCCTAGTCTGATGGGGGAGACATCCTGAGAAAAGCCAGTCTGATGGAGGAGACAGTTCCTACCCTCAGAGTCTGCAGTCTGAGGGGCAGAGGAGCACAAGAATAGAAAATAAGGGGGCTGAGCCAAGATGGCAGAGTAGAGAGACTCACAGCTTGCCCTCCCACAAATACACCAAGAATTATATCTACAAACCCATTAAATCGCACAGAACACCTACTGAACTCTGGCAGGGTAACTCGCTTCGCAGTACAGAAGGATTCTCACGAAATCTGATAAACAGCAAGTTCATACCGTATAGCACAGAGAACTATATTCAATATCTTGCAGTAGCTCCTTGCGAAAAATAATATGAAAATGAATATATACATATAGATGTTCCTATATGACTGAAACATTATGCTGTACGCCAGAAATTGACACAACATTGTAGACTGACTACACTTCAACAACAACAAAAAAGAAATAGAAAATAAGCACGAACTCTGGGTACCAGCTGGGCCTCTGCCTCCTCCATGCCAGGGCTGATTAAAAGAAACTGGGATGTTTGGGTCTCACTCCCTAACTGGAAAGGTTATCCTCATCATCATCTAAACATGGGGCAGAGGCAATGGGAGGAAGGCAGCAGGCTGGGCTGCACTGCTCTGGGTGGGGGTCCCCAGGAATGGCCGCCCCTCTGTGGGGGCCCCTGAGGCTTGGACTCAGCCCTGCCAGTCAGCTGTCCACCCCTGAAATAACAAGTCCCCAATTTCCAAATCCATGCACAACTGATCCAGGATCCAGATGCCGGTTTGTGAACTGCCAGGATGTGTTTAACTAATACGAGAGCGCCTCCCCAAATCTCTGCCCCTTCTCTCCACCCTGGCTACCAGCCAGGGCACCACAGCCCCTCCCCTGGATCCCCACAACGGCACAGGGCCTGGCACCTGGCAGGGCTCCACAGAGCCCTCGTCTGTTGAATGAATGAATGAATGAGCTCCCCTTAGCTGGTCTCCTTCCACCTGGCCATCACTGCAAGCAGCAGGCTGAAGCCCAGACTCAGATGTGACCCCCTTTTTCTCCTGCTTTAAACTCCTCCCAGGGCTCACACTGCTCCTCCTGGTGTAGCCTCTCTCTCCAGCCTCATCTGCCACCCCGCCCCCCACCTCTCTGGGCTCCAGACACAGCGAAGCTTCCTAAATGAGCCAGGACACCCCATCTTTGCCCATGCCGTTTCCTCTGCTCGGGATGCCCTTCCTCTCTTCCGGCTAGTCTCAAGATCTGGTGAGATTTTTTTTTTTCTTTTTGGTGGGGGGAGGTAATTAGGTTTATTTATTTATTTCTGGAGGAGGTACTGGGGATTGAACCCAGGACCTGCATGCTATGCACGCACTCTACCACTTGAGCAATACCCTCCCCGCTAAGACCTGGTGGGATTAAAGATAGACATCCACTTCTCCAGGAAGAGTTCCATAGTTACTGGCCCCCCTCCTGGATTTGGGTCAGATGTCCCTCCCCTGGGCTGGGAGCCCCTCCCTCAGCCAGCTGGCTGCTTCCACGCTGTTCAAGTTGCCTGTCTCCTGGTCTGGAGCCTCCAAGAGAGCAGGGAGTGGCTTGTTCACCTTGGATCCAAACCAGGGGGCCCAGGCCAGCGTGGAGAAGGGCCCGCTTTTCAGTGATTATTGACTGGAGGGTGGGCAAACCAGAGTCCTGTTCCCTCCCATTGTAATTCAGCCCCTCTCTTCCCCAGGCAGAGGCCAAATTAGGAGGCGGGCTTACTCCACGAGGGCAAGTCCCTGCAAAGCTGGGCGGATGATCTTGAGGGGCCTTGTCCCAGGCTGCATTGGCCTGGTGAGTCACCTAATTGTGCCATCATCTGAATCTGGGAGGCCGGTCAGGGACACAGCGCTCCTTACTTCTTCGCACTCCAGGAATCCTCTCTGTCTAAATCCTCTTTCCCCTTTCCAGACACCTTTCTGTCCTCACCTCTCATTGTCCCCAGAGCAGCAGCGTCCCTTCTGGTCACCACTCCCTGATGATAGGGGGGTGGGGTGGGGCCAGGCACACCCCCTCCGCAGCCCCCAAGTCCCTGTGCTTCCCTGGGGACTACCTGTGCTTACAGTGACCCCTCACCTCGGTTCTGGGCAGCCCAGTTTACAAAGCCCTTTCACATCCATTCTTGTGGGATTACTCAACTACCTGGGAACCACGTGCAATATTTTATTGGCCGATTTAAGGGTTTTTTTCCAAATGAGGAAACTGAGTGTTTGGGTTTGGTTTCCTAGGAGAGCAAGGCCAAAGCCCAGAACTGGGAGATGATTGGAGGAAGCAGCAGAAAGGGAGAGGAAAATACAGGTGGGGACAGAGCATGCGGTAATTAAGGGAGAACCAGTGAGCTAGTTCCATTGTAGGCAACTGGGGCTCACTCCTGCTGGTACCCCCCCGAAGAGCCTGTTGAATACACCTCAGAGAGGCAGGAAACCTGCATCTGTCCACCAGTTTCCCCCTCGGTGGTGAAGGATGGCCCCAGGGACACGAATCCCCACCCACCTCCCATACAGGCTGGATGTGGTGGACTGTATCGTCCAAAGATGGCCGTGACAACACTCCCATCCCACAATCTCCTTGGCAAAGTGAGCTTGCCACTCCCCGAGCAGTCCAGGGAGCCTGTTCCCCTTGCACGTGGGCTGCTGGCCCTGGGACTGTTCAGATCAACAGAATACTGTGCAAGTAAGCTTCTGTGATTTCTGAAGCCATGTGTTAAGAGGCCTGGCAGCTTCCCATTTTGTGCTCTTGGAGAACCTTGCTGCAAGGTAAGAAATCCACGTCCCCGGAGCCCCACGCTACGGAGGGAATCTGCCCAGCCAAGGAGTCGTCTCGGGCGCTCCAGCCCCAGCTGAGGCTACGTGAAGAGCCCAGCTACCCCCCAGATCGCAGAATTGTGAGCCAATAAATGGTTGGTGTTGTTCTAAGCCTCTAAGTTTTGGAGTGGATGGTTACACAGCAACAGCTCATGGGAACACTGGCTGGGTTTACCCTGAGCTAAGTGACCTTCCGCTAGATTCCAGAGAAAGATCGGGGGCCAGAAAATCAGCGAGGCAGTAAGGTGCTCTGAAGAGGGGCTTGGGTAGGATGCACAGGACGGTCCACTGCAGCCACACTGACATCTGAAGCTGCCCGAGGGCTTGGGACATGGAGCCCAACAGCACCTACTGCCCTGAGACTAAACCCCTTTGAAGGGGCAGATTGAGGCCACAGGCCATCAGACCTTCCAACTCCTTACCAGAACTCCTTTCCTCAAAGATCAGAGGTTTTTTGTTTGTTCGTTCGTTTGCTTGCTTCAAGATATCAAAGTCCCTTCTACTTTGGGCTCTCTAGTCCTCTCTGCTGTGTTTGAACAGTACCGGGAGGCTGGGGTCTGCTACCATCCAGCCATGTGCCCTACGCAGCCATCTCTGCCATTTACGGGATCCTTGCCGCATGCTGCCTGCAGGCTACGTCATGCCCGTGATCACAAACCTTATTTAATCCCCACCACACTGGAGTAGTATTATTATCCCCCTTTGGAATCTGAGGCACAGAGTGGTTATGTAACTTGCCCGAAGTCACACAGCTAGAAGCGGAGCCTAGGTTCAAACCTGAGAACCTGGAGCCTATGCTAGTAACACCACAGAAGCCTAAGGGAGCAGAGCTGTCCTGCTCCAGGGCCAGGGGCCTAGCCAGGGCGCCCTGGCTGCAACTCCCAGCTAACTCTCCTCTGCAGGACCAGTGAGGTGAACCAGTCAGTACATCCAGCCCTGCGGTGACTACGCAGGAGTCACCAGGGGATTCCTGAGCTCTTTCTCAAGAGATTCTGATTCAGCAGGTCTAGGGTAAAGCCCAGAAATAACCAGGTTCTCGAAATGCCTGGCTGGAGCTCTCAGAGGGCCAGTCTGATCTGGGTTTCTGGCATCTCCTGCCAATCCATCCTTGCCTGTGTTTTCATTCTGCATTGAAATTTGTGTTTACTTGCAATTATGTTAACTTCCTCCTCGTTCTTAGATTCCTTCACCTGCAGCTCTGGCCAGCTGAGCTGCTCCATCTGGGGTGTTGACATCACGATCCATTCAATTCAAATTACCTGTCTTTGCTGAGTCTCTCGTAGGCTGCCTGGAACACCTGATGTTGGTGACTGAGGAGGAAGGGAAAGGAGGAACAAACAATTACCAACCAGGCGGTCAGGCCCTCTTTCTATCTCTCTATCTGCTCACATTCCCACCCCCAGTGGTTCACTTCAGGGGAAAGGTTCTGACCCAGTTCATGCCAGCTCATGAAAGCCACTGGTTAAAGTTTCAGACATTTTACAAGCTGACTGTATTAAAAATTAAATTATATGACCATACAGTTAAATTGTTTTCAGAGCAAAGGTAATGAATACTCCAAACATCACTTCCTAGTTACTTTACGTGCCACTATTCACGCTTCTGAGGTTATTGACATCTGTTGGAGGTACATGGTGGAAATATCACGCCACAGCGTTCCTCTTCCCAGCTTCACGTTTTGTGACATCACGTTGTAGCTTGAAATAGCCCTAGTGGGAGTATTTACACCACAAAAATGAGCAAACACTAGAGAGCCAGATGTTAAACATTTACCAGCACATCACTGCACTGACCTCCTTCTGGATGGGATGTGGGGACTGGGTGGGTGGGAGACAGTGAGGTTTTGCCCACCTTGAAAAGGAGCAAAGCAATGCCTGTGTTTCAGGGGGAACATAATTCATAGTGTTCCCTGCGATCCTGTGGGCCCCTCAGACCATTGCTGAGTAGGGGTGAGGATTCAAGGCCATGGGAGCTAAGGGTAGTGGGTGGGCAGGTTACTCAGGTACCTGCCCCACATATGTACACGGAAGCTCTTGGGTCACGCTCCGAACTGGAGGCAGAAAGGGGAACACAAACCTTGTGCATAGCCATTTCTGCCTTCAGCTGGAGTTCTCAGACTGCCCAGAGCCCAGTCCGGGGGGTGCATTATACTCTCCCAACTGCACTGTGGTTTCCGCCAAGTCCCCATCCCCTGGGCATCCTTAAAATTAAAGGGGAGACCCTCTTGGCAAACACTAGGTCTGGTAACTGGCCTAGGGCTATTAGGTGGGTTGGGATCCAGCCTAAGGCTGCAAGAGTCGTACTGCTGAGCAAAAACACCACTGACATACAGGATCCTGCGCCTTTTTTAAGCCAACACAGGAAGGAGTCTAAGGCCTTTCAGAAATTCCCCGTCCCCAGTGCAGGGGAGGAGGTGACTCCACGCAGGATGTCCAGGGCCCCAGTCAGAAGTGGATGCTGCAGAAGTCCAGTGCCCCCAGCCCCACCCCAGAATCCTCCCAGCAGCTGTCCTCGGTGAGCCAGCCATGGTCCAGTCCCCGCTCAGGGCAGGCATTGTCCGTGGCCCCCGGGCATGCTCAGGCTTGTGAGCCATGAGTGGTTCTGTCCCTCTAACCACCACCACTTTTTATTGACTGCTTACTTTGGGACAGGCTCTGTGCTGGGACTTGACAAGAGGGCCCAGGGAAAAGGTTCCTCTTCCTTTGTTTTATTCCACGTCCATCCTCAGCGGGTGTGTTGGTGACAGGAGGTAAAAGGAGAGGTCAGTAGGGTTGGAATGGGGGGATCCACACAGAACAGCAGTCTGTGAGTCCACCTTCTCCAAGAAGCAGATACCACAGCTGGGTTAAACCAGAAAGGATGGTGTTAGGGGAGGCGCCTGTGAGAGGCTAACTCAGATGCAAGTCCCATTCCAAGGGACCAAGAGGGAGGGGAGGTTGGGTGGGAGTGGCCTCAACTGCCACGCAGGCTAAGGGAGGTTAGGCTAGGTTTAGCCGACTCCTAGGTCTCTGGAGAACGGACCCACCTTGGTACCCTGCTCAGTTCAGTCACTGGTTGGAACAGTGCATGGCCTGGGCACAAACTTTAGGTCTTTGGTCAATTACCTCCCTGTAGTTAGAGGTCTGCAGGGTGTACTTTCATGGTCACCACCACAATTATGGGGGAGCAGAAAGTATGCTCACATAGAAGTCAGGCAGCAGAGAGAGGAGAATGGAGCAGACACACAGAGAAAGGCAGAGGGGCATATGTGTGTGTGTGTGTGGTGGGGTGTGTACATGCACAGTATGAAGCCAGACAGAGGCAGAGAAAGAAGGACTGAGGGAAACAGGAAGACAGAGAAAGAGAGAAGAACGAACACTACAGAGAAGACAGCTGTCTAGCTCCAGCTCTGGACTCTGTAAGGAGACGCTGGTCCCTCCTCTGGTCCCTTTGAGATGGCCTGTTGAATCCTGACCATGAACTCCTCTTTCCGTGGACTAGCTAACGTGGTCTCTGGTTCTCACCATGAAAAGAGCCCTCTCTGTAACACCCTCAATGCTCAACCCGAAGACCTTGGCCTGTCGTCCCAGGAGAAGCACCCAAGATGTTAGTTAGTGAGAAGTTACCGCTCCACTCCCCTCCACAACTGGCTGGCCTGGTTCTACACTAACCTTCCAGGAGGATTCTCTTCGCAGTCTCTGCCTGTCCCAGGTTTTCTGCTCTGCTCTTTTCCACCTGGCAGGCCGCTTCATGTTTGTGGCTGCTGACTTGTTTCCTAGATGTTTCTCAGGCGTCTGTCCCCTCTCCCCAACGAGAGGGCAGGGCAGGGACTGTTCTTGGGCTGCTTCAAATCCGAGGCCCAGCCCTCCCCTAGCTGCCTGACGTTGAGCAAGTCACCTAACCTGTCTGGGCCTCTCTGTTAGTTCTTAGGAAACCTGGGAAGTATGACCGACTTCAGACTTCAGCATGTGAGGCCCGCGGCCTTTCTCCACGTTACCGTTCATAGTGGTAGCAGGGACATCCCTATTCACTTGGTCACCCTAGGAAATGCTTAACAATAACCCACTGAAGTTCCAGGGATATGAGAGACTGGACACCTCTCATTTTCCAGGTCAGATCTGACTATTTAGTGCCCTCTATTTACTGCTCCCTCGGGGAGATTTCAGGCAGTGACAACCTGAGTTTTACCTGAGATTAGGGCTCATATAAAAAATTATCTACATTCCAATTCTTTGTCTTCCTTAATCCCCTCTCATCAGCCTAATGAAAGAAAACTCTGTGTTGCTGTTTTACATGTGAAAATCTGATGGTTCATTGACTTGCTTGAGGTCACAGGGCTGATGAGGGGAGGATCCCTACCTCAGGGCAGCCCCCCAGCCTCTGGGCCCCCACAGCAGCAGTACCAAGTGAGTCAGAGAACCCAGCTCAGTCTGCCTCCAAAGGACCATTCCTGAGATTCCTCCTTAACTGGCAGTGCCCCTTCCACCAGGGTCTTTCTGCCCCTGGTTCTGAGCAAATTCTTTAGTTTGGTTCCACTAGAGCTCTCCAGTACCCCAAAACCTACCTCTCAACTCAGAACAGAATGTTACAGCCGACGGGAATTCATTCCTTCAAGGATCTATTGAGCACCTACTGTAAGCCAAGTACCATTTTAGCCACTGAATATTAGTGACAGCCTAATGATTAGATTTTAATCCAACGGCTCTCAACCCTGGTTGCTTTCAGAATCACTGGGGCCTTTTTGAAGTGTTACCCAGATCTTACTCCAAACAGTGAAGTCAGAATCTTTGCGGAGGGTGGGGGATGAGGCCAGCACTCAGAATTTTATTTAAAAACTCCCTAAACGATTCTAATGTTCTCTCAGGGTTAAGAACCTCCGATCTAGGTGAAACATAGCCTCCCTCACATTACAGAAGAGGGAACTTAGACCCATACATGAGCAGTGCTTTGCCCAAAGTCACAGATCTGAGCCTGGTTCCTCCACCTTCAAACTCCTAGTAACTTGGTCTGAAGTTAACTAGTAAGTATTTGCTGAAGGCGCCCATGGATGAATGTGGGGTGAGAGGCAGAGGAAGGTGGTGAGTGCAGTGAATACATATGAGATGCTTTCATTATCCACTGTTCTTCCTGAAGACAAACAGCCCAGGCAGCCAACCACATGACTTGCCTCCGTAAATCTGATTGGACGAGGAGAGGAAACCCGAACCAAGATCAACCAATGAGATGACCTGGCTTGGCATCTAAACTCAGGACATCAAGGGACTGAGACAGGGAGCTGCTGGGAGCTGACCCCAGAGGTCATGGGGGCTTGGGTGTGGTGGCAGGCATTTGGGGTCATATGTGAGCCAGTGGGCAGGGAGAGGGAAAAAGGTGTGCAGAGAGAAGTAGGACAGAGCAGACACAAACCGAGAGAGGCAGAGACAGGGACTGGGCAGGTCTTGTTTCCCCTGAGAGCTGTACCCTTTCATTGAACCTCATCTTTCATAACTACTGGGCTCCTTGAAACTCAAAGGGCCTTGACCAATATAAGCACGGGGGATGGTTCACACAAAAGCCTATAGGAACCAAAGACGCTTATGTGCCCTTGACTTTGCCCTCAACCCCTAACTGTGTCCCTCTGAAGCACTGAGTTCCCTGTCATTCAAAGCGCTCAGGCAAAGGGTTGGCGTTCACCTCTTGGAGACATTGGTAAGTTGATCTCATAGGTCCTGCTTAACCACATGATTTTGAATTTCCACAATGGGCAGGCAGAGAGGTATTTTAAGATTGTTTATTCTCCTTTTCGGCACCCAGTGCCCTGTGCCTGACACCTGGTCCCTGGCAAGGAAGCCTGTACCCCTGGGGATGGGAGTGGGGCACCCAGTAAACAAAGAACACAGAAAGTTCCTCCAGTCCCTGCCCCCCACATCACACACACATCCCTGTAGTGGGACAGTGGCAGGGGTGTGGAGACAATGGGAACCTATGAGTCACGGGGGTAGGCAGGATAATGTTTCTCCAAAAAGGCTCCCTCTGGCCATGTCCGGAGTTGCTGACGTAGGCAGCTGCCAGGCAGTGACACCTGGAATGACCCTTAGTTCTGGGCAGTTGCTCGCCCTGCCCTGGATGACCTGGGTTTTCTTTTTATCTTTTAATTCAACTTTTATTTTTAGCAAAGTGATATATGCATATAAATACTTTTAAAAAGCCAAATAATACTACACAGACTGTAAAGGAAAACAGCAATTGCCTGCCTCACCCTTCCCCATCCCCAGTCCCCAGAGGCAACTTCTTTTAGACTTTCCAGCCCTTTCTTCCTATTTTTCTTCTACTTCTTTAAATAACATATAACTGATTTTTAATCCCATGAGTATTTTTTATTATCCTACTTTAGCTGGTAGATCATCTTTCCACTACAAAAGGTGAAGATTAGCTCCATTCCATCCCCAGCACTCATACTTTTCCCCCATCCCCCCAATATAGTTAGATCTCAATTCAATGTTAACATTTTAACTACGTGAATAGTCATAATGTACCTGGGTATACCTTTTTTTCTTGTGTAACATTTTGTTTTTCATGCTTTTTGTTTGTTTGCTTAATTTTGTATGTTCCTGTCACTAATTAACTCCCAAGCCCCCTGCTATAATTGTAAAACTTCTTTCAGAAGAATCATCTATCAGTCCCATTTGTTTTTTCTTGGTGAATTGCCTTTAGAGCCAAACATCTTTCTGTTCCTGGCTGGATGGGTACTCTCTGAGAGTATCCTGAAGTGTCCCTTTACCGTTGATTGGGAATTCCTTTTGCCGTCTTCCTACATCAGATTCCCTGCTTTCTGAATCCAGTGCCTTCTATCTTTATTTCTTCTTTTGCTGGTGCACTTCCTTCAATAGCTTTCTGAGAAATGGTGCAAGGGAGGTAAAATTTTTGAGAACTTGTATGTCTAAAAATGTCTTTATCCTACCTTCATCTTGATTGATAGCTTGGCTGGGTATCTGATTCTAGGTTGGAAATTTTTTCCTTCAGAGTTTCAAGAGTTATTTCCCTTTGTCTTCTAGTTTCTGGCTGGTTATGGAGTAGTTCAGTGACAGTCTAATTCCTAGGTCTTTATATGTGATCTGTATTTTTTTTTCTCTCTGGAAACTTTTTAGAATTTCTTTATTTTCCAGTGCATTGGTTGGTGTGTTTTTTCATTCACAGAGCTGAGTCCTCGGGCTCCCCTTTAATCTGGAAGCTCATGCCCTTTGGTACCTTTCTGTGTTTATTATGTTCTGTCTTTTTGACGTGGGCCTCTTAGCTTGGTTCTCTGATTTTCTAATCTTTACTTTTTGTCACCTTTCTTTCAAGAGGATTTCCATCTCTAACCCTTCTACTGATTGAAAAGAAAGTCTTCTACTTTATTTTTATTTTGTTTCTTTTTCTTCCTTTTTATTCAGAGAATTGCAAATATACAGAAAAGTTGGAAAAACAGTATACCTAACACTCTTTTCCCTACCATCTAGGTCAGTGCTAGAAGTACAATGTGAGCCACATACCTAATTTTAAGCTTTCCAGTAGCCACATTAAAAAGGTTAAAAGAAACAGATAAAATGAACTTTAATGTTTTACTTATTTTAAAATATCATTTCTATATGCAGTCAATATAAAAATTATTAATAAGATATATTTCCTTCCTTTTTTTGGTGCTAAGTCTTTGGAATTCGGTGTGTGCTTGTTCACACCCCGAATTCACAGCATATCTCAATCTGGATGATGTCAAGTGCTTAGAAGCTACATGTGACAATTAGCTACTGTATTAGATAGTGCAGGACTACACTGAACAATTGTTATTATATGTCTATCTATGAACTGCCTGTATATTTTGGCAGAATCATTTGAAAGAAATTTGTAGACCATGTTAATGGTTGATTTTTAAGTACTTTCACCTGCGGATCCTAAAATCAAGGCTATTCTGCTACATAACCACATCACCACTTTCACATCTAAGAAAGTTAACAATAATTCCCTAATATCTTTAATGTCTTGTCCATGTTCAAATTTCCCCAACTGTGCTCAAATTTTCTTTTATACTGAGATCCCATCTAGAGTCATTTGGTTGCTGGGTCTCCTTAGGCTTTTTTAACATCTATAATAGTTTTCCCTACATGGCCATTTTCAGTATCTAGGCAAGTTGTCCTGTAGAATGGCCTGCATTCTGGGTTTGTCTGATTGGTTCTTCATGATGTCATTCAATTTTATTCCTCTACCTCTTGCATTTACTGGAGCCTGGAAGTCAGATCATGGTAAAATTCAGATTAAATATTTTTAGCAAGGATACTACATAGCTTGCTATCATGTTTTTAATTTTCAAGAGCTATTGCTTATTCTGTGACCATCACTTCCTTACAGCATCCTACTCTTGTTTCAAAGGTCACAGTATTTCTCTAGTCTCTGAGAATATTAATTATCTCAAAGAGGCAGAAAGGATTCTGCTTTCTGCATCATCTCTGAGTTAAGGTTGTTGTTGTTTTTTTTCCTTATTTGCTTACTCTGGGTTCTCTTTTTATAATGACGCCTCTCTTGTAATGCCCAGTGATTGTTGGTTGTCTGTGCATACTTAAGACTAAGGCTCTGATTATGTGAACAGGGCTTGTGCCTAGAAGATTTGGTGACAAGCTAACTTTTTCATTGAGAAATCTTTAAACGTCAATATCTGTAGGACTCTTCTCTTGGGACAATTTCCCTAGAGAGAATCCCTGGAATTTGCTGGGGGATATAAACCTGTTTCCAATGTTCTGATGCTGAATGGGGAAGAGCTCATGGAAACTTACCGTTCAGTGTTCAGACTTGCACTTAATCCCCTGCCTCAGCTGTGTAATCCTCTCTGTTGGTAAGCCAGCCCATTCTCTGCCAGGGTGGAGAAGGCAGTGTCCAGCTGCGCAAGAAGTGGAGGGGGCGGATCTGGGGTTATCACAGCTCCTTAATCCACTTCCAACCAGTCCTCTTCAGTTCTCACCCCCAGCACCACCCCTCCCCCCTTTTAGAGAGCTCTGGCATTTCCAGGTGCTGAGACGTTTGAGATACCCACAGCCTGAAGCTTCTTTCTGTTATCCTGCCCATCCTCTCACCCCCACCCACAACCCCAGGCAGTTAAGGTGCAGTTTCTGCCAGGCTAAGTGATTGTCCATCCCTTTTGAGCTTCCAGAATCTTGCTGACTACTCCACACCTTCACTCTTCTTGTCCTTGTGGGCTATGCCTCATCAGGATCATCTCGGTAGGGTTTAGGAGATTGCAAAGATAAAAAGTGCTCAGTCCTACAGGCTTTCTGTTCAGCAGTGGCCCATTGTCTAGAGGTAAAAATTGAGTCCCAGAGAAATCTGAGGAGGTCCCACACCCAAATTCCAGCCACACTAAGACAGCAGCATGGCCAGAGACCTGGCAGAAGCTTCACCCCTGAAAATCTCTGCTCCGTGGCCTGGCTTCTGCGACGCAGGGAAGCCAGGACCTTGGTTTTGACCATGATATTAGCATTCTGAAGTGGTTCCTCTACCCCAGTTACATCTCCAGACTCCAAACCTTGGGTCTGCCTACCTGCGTGCTCCCCACTGCCTTCCAGGGCCTGGCCCTCACTCTGTGTCTCTAAACTTCTCTCTTTTACTGCTTTTATTTCTTTTCTTGTTTTATCTCACTTTCTTATTCTCGGTATCTTTTTCCTTCGTTTTTTCTTCTCTCTCCTGTTTCTCTCTTTCCTCCCCCCTCCAACTCTCTCTCTCCCTCTCTCTCTCTCCACCCATCCCTGACTTCTTCCTTTGGTAAATAAGGACTTTTCAATCTACACCAGCAGTTCTCAGTCAGGGCTGAGTTTCCCAGCTCCCCCAGGAAACACCTGCAGCTGTGGAGGGGGCTGGTGCTGACACCTGGTGGGTAGAGGCCAGGGGTGCTGCCAAACATCCTACGATGCACAGGGCGGCCCAAACGACAAAGGATCATCCAGCCCAAAATGTCAGTAGTGCTGAGGATGAGAAAGCCTGGTCCCCTGTAACCTCTACTGCACACACCATCTCTAGTTCCTCTCAGAGAAAACAGCAGTGGAGAACAGAGGCCCGAGGGGGAACCACCGCCAGCAGCCGGCTGTGATGAGCAGCCCAGGCTGTGGGCGGGATGCAGCCTTGGGAATCTGGTGTCGGTTTTGGCCTTGTCAGGGTCAGTCTGGTGGGAGAGCTCTCCTTAGTCCCTTCAGGTGCTGCCGCCAGGTGTTTACCTGACTGCGGGACCACCCTGGTCCCGGCTCAGGAGCAAGTAATGAAAACACAGTCGGCCCACTGCCCACTCCAGACTGGCCCCTCACCACCGCTGTGAAGGGGGGGTAGCTCCTTCTCCTTCTCCTTCCTCCTGGGCCTGTTCCACAGGCATGCCAGAAACCCTCCGAGAATCAGCGTGCCATGTGATGGAGGGGGCAGGGGGACAGGCAAGGGCCGGCTGCCTTCCCTGCCTGTAAGCCTACCCTACCAGAGCCTCCACAGGCCGTGTCTATTCCCTGAAGGTGGCAGAAATAGGGAGGGTTGTGGGGCAGGATGGGGGGATCCTGAGAGTCTGCATTTCTGAGAAGTTCCCATGTCGTGCTGCTGTCCGTGAACCGCACTGAGTGGCTCTGAGGCCCTCGGGGGCCTCAGAGTCCCTCTAGGAGCCCATCTGTCCATCTGTCCACTCTCCTGTTCTGTCTGCATGCGGCCCCAGAGCCTGGCTCCTTAATCCAGGGAGGCAGCTCCTTTATTCTTGCAGCCTCCCAGGACAGCATCCAAGATCAAGGCCCAGTCTGTTCACCCCAGAGGCGCCACATTACAAACCTGGCAACTGTGCCCTGTATGCCCTGTCCCTGCCGCCAGCCACCACCTCCTTCCGTCCTGGGCCGATTCTCCATCTTGGCACTGGCGGCTGCTGTGACGCCCTTGGACTAGAGCCACCCCTTGAACTCTGTGTTTTGCCAGAGTTAACTGACTTTAAAACACAAAAGCTGTGTGTGTATAGGGGGTGCTTCCTGGGCGGGTGTGTTTAGGAAGGTTATGTCAAAAAAGTGAACACAGCCTTGTCTGCAGGGGTCTCCTTGTTGTATGGTGTGTGTATATGTGTGTGTGTATCTGTCCATCCACGGGTCCTTTGGTGTTGATGCTCGGGTGTGCATGGCAGGGCCTCCAACAGCTGCGCGATGCTGTGTGTGTGTGTGTGTGTGTGTGTGTGTGTGGAGTGGGGATGGAAAGGCAGGAAGGAAAGGCCAAGGCACCGGCAGCTTCATCCCTGGGCCTCCCCTTTCTCCTCCACTGAATAAACATCTTGTTTGTCCACCAGATAGTAGCCCTGAGGCTTACACTCCTCCTCCTGCCCCACCCCCTACCCCCAGGGCTCAGGACTGGCTAGACCTGCACAGGAAGTCTGGCTGAACCGTAATCCAGCATGGAAAATGCCAAGAAGGAAGGCACCATGCCAGGCCTGTTGACGGACCGGGCGGGCAGCACCGAGACCAGATGTACCTTCATCACTCTGGGACTCAGACCGCAGCCTCCTCACCGCGCCGCTCCCACCTCCGTGGCGCCACCCGGAGCACAATGGGGCCATTTCAGAGTAAAATCTCAGTGAAATCCGTCTGCCCAGGAGGAGTTCCCAAACTCAGCCGGGAAGGCTCTGGGGCTCCTAGTAAAGTGGAACTCCAGTGCCCCATCTTCTTCTTTGCCAGGGTCTGTGGTGACCAGGTGGAGGGCGGGGGACACAGCAGCCTCACAGTCCAAATCCCCTCCCATCAGAGGCATCTAGCAAAGGCAGGGGCAAAAGAGAGTGAGCTCCGTCGCTGGAGATGTGACCTGTACACTTCGAGCTGCTGAGGTTACATGTGTCAAACTCTTCATTCCTCTGCCTCCAGGCTGTCTGAACTGCGAAGAAACAAATGCTCCTAGTTTAAAGAGTCCTAGAAAAGTCAACTTTGCAGCTTCTCCACATCCCCAGCTCAGTCAGGACTTCCCTTCCTCCATCTCTCATTTGGACAGTGATAATTCCTGGGCATAGCTTCTAGTTTCCATGTTTATGAACGAATAGGAGGTGGCTTTTGTCTCTTCCTGGAACAGACAGTGACTAAGGTCATGCAAGTGACAGAAGGGTACTTTCCAAATGTTATTGGAATTGAACCCCATTCAGGGTCCCTTCCTGCCCACCCCTTGGCCCTCCCCAGCATGGAGGCCCCTAGGGCTCAAACAGGGGCCATGGGACACATCCAGGAAGATGCCAAAGCCTGTTCTCTCTCCCCTGGGCCCCGGGAGTCAAGACAGGTGTGTGTGTTGGCCGGTGAGGGGCAGTGATCCTCTGCTTCTTGGCCTGTGGGCTGGAACATCTGGCAGGCAGCCCCAATTCTCCCCTCTCCCTTGGCCTTCTGGTGTCTTCAGTCACTGTATGCATTCCTAGTCCTGCCAGTTCCTGCTTCCTTGGTAGCCAGACACGGATCAGGGCCTGTGAGGCTGAGAAGAAACAGTGCCAAGGGGGTGGGGCTCCCTCCCTGTCCTGGTTACCAAAGAGGACACAACCCCCCAGTGAGGCTGTCACCCCAAGAGCCTCAGAGGGCACAGCAGGACCAAGCCTCTGAGTCAGGTGAAGTCTGGAGCCCAACCAGACCTCACCTGGCAGCTCAACCTCAAGGTCTTTCCTGACTCATCGCTGAGTCTGGGTCTCCATGGTCCTTGGAGTTTGGACTGTGTTTTTGGCATTTATTGAGATTTGGTCTTGAATGTTTTTAAGACTTCTTCTGAATGCACGTGGATGTCTCCCTGCGTGTGTTTCTGCACGTGCACACACATGAGAGAGAGAGAGAAATGCAGAGAGGGAGAGAAAGGAATAGAGGCAGCAAGACAGTGGCAGGGAGACAGGGATACCCTAGCAGAGATCCCCGGAGAAGAAAAGCTGTTTTTCCCCCTCAGACTGTATCTCTCCCCTCAGCAGGGCTGTGTCTCCCCTCAGACTGGGGTCCCTGAGGACGGGGCTGTGTCTCCTCTCAGACTGGGGTCCCTGAGGACGGGGCTGTGTCTCCCCCTCAGACTGGGGTCCCTGAGGACGGGGCTGTGTCTCCCCCTCAGACTGGGGTCCCTGAGGACGGGGCTGTGTCTCCCCCTCAGACTGGGGTCCCTGAGGACGGGGCTGTGTCTCCTCTCAGACTGGGGTCCCTGAAGACGGGGCTGTGTCTCCTCTCAGACTGGGGTCCCTGAAGACGGGGCTGTGTCTCCCCCTCAGACTGGGGTCCCTGAGGACGGGGCTGTGTCTCCTCTCAGACTGGGGTCCCTGAGGACGGGGCTGTGTCTCCTCTCAGACTGGGGTCCCTGAAGACGGGGCTGTGTCTCCCCCTCAGACTGGGGTCCCTGAGGACGGGGCTGTGTCTCCCCCTCAGACTGGGGTCCCTGAGGACGGGGCTGTGTCTCCCCCTCAGACTGGGGTCCCTGAGGACGGGGCTGTGTCTCCCCCTCAGGCAGGGCCTCCCTGAGAAGCTGGCCCACTCAGGAATGAGGAACCACAAGCACTCCCTGTGCGGATACCATGAGTGTGTGGTGAGCCTACTTCCCCTAAGTCTTCAGAGGCTTCTGCAGTAACGCCCAGGGAATGCTCCTTGTTTCTAGGCCGGAGTTCAGGGAAGTCCAGTCCGGGTCTCCTCATTAACAGAGACAATTTGGATGGACTCGAGGCCTGGGACTCCCCACAGGCCCGCCTGGACTGGCTAACTCCTGCCCTTCCTCCTTTTCCCTCCCTCTTCCCCCGCCTCTGCTTCGGGCAGAGAGGGTTGGAATCTGAGGTCTGCAGCCCAAGGCAGCCCCCAGCAGAGCAGTCCTCCTCCTGGGGTGTCAGCAAACCCAGCTCCCAGGCACCAGCGACGGGCGCGAGGGGTGGCCCGCCTGGCCTCCCAGGCAAGCAGCCTCCCTGTGCTCACTGGACCTGTGTGGATGCAGAAGGGCAGGTCCCTTCTTGCCTGTCCGTGATGCCTCCCTGGAGGAGGATGAGGAAGACGGATCCAGGAATGAGGAAAGATATGGATGAGAAAGACAAGGCGTATGAAGGAAACAGAGGACAAATCACGAGAAGGATGGTGCATCGGCACAGCAACTGTAACATTGGATGAAGTGGGCTTTTAATCATCTGTCTTGCCATTTTTGCTTTATCACAGGATGAACAGAACGCCCACTAGAATTTCAGTTTCTTGAAGGCTGGGCGCTAAGCTTTGTTGGCTGTTGCATCCTGTGTATCTAGATGCCTGGCACATAGTAGGTGCTCAATTAATATTTGTCGATTGAGTGACAGATCCTCAGCTGGTGTGGTTTCATGGACTTTGGCCCCTTGTATCGTGTTGCTGACAGTTACCGGAGCTTCCTCTGCTCTCCACCCCCACCCGACTCACTCACCCCAGGCGCTGTGTAGGGTGGGCCTGGCGGCCATGAGACCTGCATTCCAGAGCTGACTCTGCTTCTCTCGAGGTGTGTGATTATGTGAGTCTCTGCTCCTCCGTCTCAGTTTTTCCATCTGTGAAATGAGGAGAATGGATTAGTGTAGTGTCTTTCAAGACCTTTCCTCTTGCCGCTCAAGCAGTGGAGCCCTTTCTTCAAAAGAAATCTTAAGAGAGAGGATTAGCAGACACTAACTACTACACATAAAATAGATAAACAGCAGTGCCCCACTGTACAGCACAGGGAACTATATTCAGTATCTTGTAATGGCCTAGAATAAAAAAGAATATGAGAAGGAATATGTGTGTATGTATGTATGTGTATAACTGAATCACTGTGCTGTACACTAGAAATTAACACATTGTTCAATTAAAAAAATTTTTTTTTTAAAGAAAAAGCTCAAAATATAGAAGAGCTGATTCTAGAAGGTCTCTAAAGGAGGAGGGGAGAGAGGAGCTGGATGCCAGTCCCCTCCCTTCGCACCCTTCTCCTCACAGGTTCCCTGGAGCCCCCTCTAGGGACCCAATAAGCCCTGCTGAGCCCAGTCTGAGAAAAGCCCAAAAGGATGGGGCTGACCGTGTCTGCCCACAGGGCCCAGGGGAGTCAGGGTGGATTTCATCGTAACTCAGTCCCCAGGGAGGCCAGAGTGGGGGCTCCAGTGATTCTGAGGTGGGGCCAAATGTGGGTGTTTGTGGTGGGAGATGGGGGGGCTCCTCCAGCATCAAGCCCAGCCCCAGCTCAGGAAACCCAGAAACAACCAGTTTCAGCCAAAGTTACATACCCTGAAAGCAGACAAACCTCTCTGTGGAGGAGGGAGTCTGGGAGGGTCCTGGCAGCCGGGAGCTCTGAGAAGTCCGGGGAGGTGGACCCCCTCCCCCCCTCTGCAGACCTCAAGCTCCAACCTGCCAGCAGATCATCACATGGGTGCCACCGCCCCCTTGTGGTCATGCCCACAGCTGCGCTGAAACATCTGTCCCTCAGGGATGCTCTAAGTGCCTTGGAGATGAACACCCCCAAAAGGCCAGATTCTCTCAGGCTGGGGTCTGGCCTGGGGAACTCCAGGTATCTCTGCCTCTGGCTTCACTTTTTCCCTCAGGCTGAGCTTCCCAGAAAACGAAACACCAAAAACCAAAGCCATGTGGTATGTTGTACCCACCTCGGGGCTGGGAATCTAGAGATGAGACTGGGGCTTGAATACTGTAGCCTCCAAAATGCTGTGTGACCTGGGGGAGTCAGATAACCTCTCTGAGCCTCTGCATACTTGTCTATAAAATGAGAATAGTAGTTCCTGCCCTGCGAGCCTAGGAGCTATTGTGAGGGTTTGCGAAACACCCTTTGCATAAAGCTCTGGGCACATACAAAGGGTCCAAAACATAGAGTCCTGGTCAAGACGGGAGCAGAAAGGGGCGGGGCTGGGAGGGACTAGTCTAGAGAAAGCGGTGCTGGGAGGTTAGCAGGAGACAACTGTGAAAAGAAGAGCAGGAAGGAGAAACGCAACCCCGGGTGCCCAGAGAGAGGCCCCAGGATTCCCTACCCCTTTGCCTTGAACAAACTCATCTTGTCTGCAGAGCTCCTTATAGCCCTCAATTCCCCCAGGAGCCTCAGCCTGTGCCTCCAGTCCTTCCTGGGGAGCCTCACACTGACCCCACAGCAGGACACTGTCATGGAGCCTCCGAGCCCTCACGTTTGCTGAACAATTGATGCACAGGTGCCATTGCGTTTATCCTTCCCAGCCCTGAGGTACATAGAATGAAGATGGCCTTTCCATCTAGTTTCCAATGACAGGTTCCTCATTTCCATCGGACACCACACCTTGAACATTTATATTTCTAGCAACAGTCTCTTCCATGGCAATCTAGGCTCTCTTCAAACTCTCCCAGCCACTACCATTCATTACCCAATTCCAAAGTCATGTCCACATTTTTGGGTACCTGTTGCAGCAGCACCCCAGGACCACCAGAAGCGAGGGGAGGGGCACAGATTCTCCCTCACAGCCCTCGACCCTGCCCATGCCCACTCTCAGACTCATTTCTGTGGTTTTAAGCCACTAGTTCGTGGTTATCATGTTACAGAAGCCCTAGCAAACGAATACACACCATTGCATCCTCTCCCTGGTTCTGCTCTGGCCCCAGGACAGCCCCTCCGCGCAGGCTCTGCCCCAACCCTCTTCTTCCATCTCTCCAGCTGCCTCCATTTCCTCCTGTGACCTCCCTCCTTGCATCTCTGCAGTGGTCCTAAATAGATTCTCAGTCCCCTCAAGGCTGCATGAGTCGGGTCCCCATTGGTCTCTTGACAGTAACGATCATAGCTCGCATGTCCCGCCCTTATCATGTGGCAGGCTGGGGGTTAGACGCTTTACGTGTACGCTCTCATTGAATCCCCACGTGAGGTAAGTACCAACATTATCCTACTTTTCCAGGGGGAACTGACCTTCAGAGAGGCTAAGTAACCTGCCAAAGTCACACAGCAGGAACACTGGACCCGGGCAGGTCTCAGTGGAAAGTCCATGCTGGTAACTCCTGTACTTCCCGGCTTCCCACACTTCCTGCTTCTCTCAGAGTCATCATTTCCACTTGAATAGCCTGAGGTCTCTTCAAGTTCACAGTATCTAGAACAAGCTTGACATCCCCACCCCAGCAACCCTCCCCTTTTACCCCACCTGCCAACACACATAGCAGTTCTTCCTGCCACTTCCTGTAATGGGCTCAGAATCCCCTGGGCTGGAGATGTGGCTTCTCCTCAGCCTTGCTCCAAGGTCTCCTAGGGTTTGGAAAAGACAAGGGTGATTTTTCCTCTAGGGGACCCCTGTACTTTTTTAATTTTTAAATTTTACTTACTGATTGATTTTTTAAATTTTAAAACAGTAGTATTCACTTTTTTGGTGTACAGTTTTATGAATTTTAACACATGCCTAGATTCTTAATTTTTTATTGAGGTGTAATTGACATATAACATTATATAAGCTTCATGTGTACATGATAATTTAGTATGTGTGTAAATTGCAAAATGATCATCATAGTAAGTCTAGTTAACATCTGTCACCGTACATAGTTACAAAATTTTTTTTCTTATGAGAACTTGTAAGATCTACTCTCTTAGCAACTTTCACATATGCAACACAGTTTTATTAACAATAGTCACCATGCTATACATTACATCCCCAGGACTTTATTTTATAACTGAAAGCTTGTACCTTTTGACCCCTTCACCCATGTCACCCACTCTCCACCCCCTGCCTCTGGCAACCACCAGTCTGTTCTCTGTATCTATGAGCCTGGTTTGTTTTTTGAAAAAAAATTTCCTTTTTTCGTTTTGTTTTGTTTTTAGATTCCACATATAAATGATATCATCCTTTTTTTTTCCTTCTGTAACTTATCTCACTTAGCACGATGTCCTCAAGGTCCATCTATATTGTCATAAATGGAAATTTTCCTTTTCTTAATAGTTGAATAATATTCTTTGTGTATATACCACATTTTCTTTATCCATTCATCCATCAATAGACACTTAAGTTGTTTCCATATCTTGGTTATTTAAATAATACTTCAATGAACATGGGGATACATATATCTTTTCAAGTTAGTGTTTTTGTTTCCTTCAGAAAAGACGTGGTCTTGCAGGGTCTTTTTTAAGTTTTTTTTTTTTTTTTTTTTTTACATTTTTTATTGATTCATAATCATTTTACAGTGTTGTGTCAAATTCCAGTGTTCAGGACAATTTTTCACTCATTCATGGACATATACACACTCATTGTCACATTTTTTTCTCTGTGATTTATCATAACATTTTGTGTATATTTCCCTGTGCTATACAGTGTAATCTTGTTTATCTATTCTACAATTTTGAAATTTTTTTAAGTTTTTTGAAAAACATCCACACTGCTTACTATAGTGGCTGCACCAATTTACATTCCTACCAACAGGGCATAAGGGCTCCCTTTTCACATCTTTGCCAGCACTTGTTGCTTCTTGTCTTTTTGACAATAGCTATTCTGACAGGTGTGAGGTGATATATCACTGTGGCTTTGATTTGCATTTCCCTGCTGATTAGTGATGTTGAGCTTTTTCTTGTTTCAACCTTTTCATGTTGGCCATCTGTCTGTTTTCTTTGGAATAATGTCTACTGAGATCTTCTGCTCATTTTTTAGTTGGATTGCTAGTTTGTTCATTTTTTGCTATTGAGTTGTATGAATTCTTTATATGTTTTTGGATATTGATGTCTTATGAGGTATAAGATTTGCAAATATCTTCTCCCATTCAGTAGGCTGCCTTTTCATTTTGTTGATGGTTTCCTTTGCTGTGTGGAAGCTTTTTAGTTTGATGTAGTCCCACTTTATTTTTGCTTTTATTGCCTTGGCTTTTGGTGTCAAATCCAAAAAACCCCATTATATTAATGCCAGGGAGCTTACCATTTATGATTTTCTTCTAGGAATTTTATGGTTTCAGGTCTCCCATTCAAGTCTTTAACCCATTTTGAGATAATGTTTGTGTGTGGTATGAGATACAGTCCAGCTTTATTCTTTTCCATGTGGTTCTCCAGCTTTCCCAACACCTTTCATTGAAGAGATTGTGTTTCTTGTATATTCTTGGCCCCTTTGTTGTAAATTAATTGACCATACATAAGTGGGTTTATTTCTGGGCTCTCTGCTCTGTTCTGTTGATTTTGCTCTAGGATTCTGTTTCATGATTTTATGCCAATACCGTATTATTTTGGTTACTTTAGTACTTTATTTTGATAGCTTCATAATACAGTTTGAAATCAAGGAGTATGATGCCTCTAATCTTTCTCAAGATTGCTTGGCCCATTTGGGGTCTTTTATGGGTCCATACAAATTTTAGGATTGTTTGTTCTATTTCTACGAAAAAATGCTGTTGGCATTTTTGATAGGGATTGCACTGAATCTGTAAATTGCTTTAGGTAGTATGGACATTTCAATATTAATTCTTTCAACCCATGAACATGAAATATCTTTCCATTTGCTTGTGTCTTCTTCAGTTTCTTTCATCAGTGTCTTATGGTTTTCAGCGTACAGGTCTTTCACTTCCTTGGTTAAAATTTTTTCCCAGGTATTTTATTC